GAAAAAAAAAAAAAAAAAAAAAAAACAAAATCTTTTTTTTTTTTTTTTGTAGTCTAGGATTTTTAATAGATGTTGTGTCGAGCTGAAAGTGAACACACACTCGAGTGGAAGAAACAAAGCTAACTGTTGTTTTGTTACACCCCTCCTCTGGAGAATCAAGCACACCAAACTTGAATAGCTGTGTTGTAAATCCCAGACAGCTACCTACATATTCATCTTGTTACCTACTCCTGTCACTTAGAAAACAGTTAGTAATGTTTTTTTTTGGGTAACATTTTACAATAAGGTTCCATTAGTTAATGTTAGTTAATGTATTAACTAACATGAACAAACAATGAACAATACATTTCTTAATTCATGTTAACTAAAGTAGTTAACTAATGAACCTTATTGTAAAGTGTCACCGTTTTTGTGTTGTTTTTAGACGGACTAAACCAGACTAATTTTAACTTTTTAACATTTGACCTTTTTAAAACTTTTTAATAGTTGTCCATATTATTTAATGTAATATATGGAATTGGAAAGTTGGTAAAACACACAGTCATGTTTAGTGTATGAACTGATTAATTGATTGTTTTTAATTGTGTGTTATTTGTTAAAGATGTTTATTTTTGTTAATTTAAAAGTTTTTTCCTCCCACCACTGACCTCTTCCTTACATGACCCATCAGGTATCCTGTCTTGATGAGGTACTGAGGAATGCGCTGTTGTCATGGAAACCCAGTCCCAGACCAGTTCTGCAGCAGAGAAGAAGAAGAAAGTGGAGACCATCGTAGCCACAAAGAGCGCACCCACCTGCGCAGACATTAGTGAGAAGGCCGTGGCCTCCAGCACTACCTCCAATGGTACAGCTTCAACACTTTAACCTCTTCTCTTTAATCTCTTCTCTTACTTGTCAAGCTGAAATTTCTATTCTCTATTGATTCTGTCTGTTTGAAATGGTTAAAAGTGAAGTGTGTAATTTTTTGGATGTTAAAGTACTATTCAAGTAACGCTCAAACATTGCCCTGTTTTGTTGAGAATCTTGACCAGCTCGACACAGCAACAGCTGCACCAATGTTGTAAGTTGGGGGTGGGGATATCTGTTTGGCTGACCAGTTGCAGTGTGTGGGAAACCTGTTAGAAACACTCATTATTTTTGCAATTCTGTTATTTGCAAAATACATTCATTTCAGATAAAACAAAATGCACTTTTACTAACTGGCGATCAGGGGTGTGAAGTAACGAATTACAAATACTCACGTTACAGTAATTAAGTAGTTTTTATCAGTAATTGTACTTTTTTGAGTAGTTTAAAAATTGTGTACTTTTACTTGAGTGCATTTTAAGTGATGTATCGGTACTTTTACTCCGCTATTTTCCTCCGTTTGTGGTCGTTACATGCTTATTTTAATTTTATTTTTATCCATCAACGTGATTGGATAGAGAGATAGTAATCGGTCTCGTGACTTTCGTCAAATCAAATTGTGCATAGAAAACTTTAACCGCCAACTGCTGTTTATCATGGCTGCCGGAAGTGCATTCTTCAAACATCAATTCAGTCGCATCTTCCTCTAATATGTTAAGGTGAATTTTGGATTTCTGCTTACTAAATTATTTGTATATATGCTTGCCTATCTACACGGCCTGAAATTTGGTGTGAGGTTGCGGGTATTGCATAAAGTGTTAACTCCTGCAAGTACCACGTTCGGTAAATTCCCACTCACTTATGAGAGCGCGATCTTTGCTGCCTTTTCCCGAGGGTGGGGTTTATCTGGGTTTGTTATGTCATGAACCCAGGAAGTAACTTGTTGTAGTCCCTACCAGCCGTTTTTGTAGGCATTAAACTGCCAGAATTTTAAAAGACGATATCTCCGTTTGCATTGAACTTTTAGCTTTGCAACTTTGCAGATATTGTTTATGCTCAAACAGCAACATTACACACTAACTAATGTTAAAAAAGTGAAATCGCAATCAACCACCCCTTTAAAATGTATCAATTGTGGTGTACAGCGTTTATTATGAGGGGGTAGAATCCACAGCTCAGTACTCACTACTCAATACTCATGAGTACTTTTAAATAGGCTACTCTTTTACTCTTACTCAAGTAGTTTTTTGGACAAGTACTTTTACTCTACTCACACCACAATTTTTGGAAGGTAATGGTACTTTTACTTGAGTATATGTTTTCAGTACTCTTTCCACCACTGCTGGCGAGTGGCGATTCACAATTTAACTTTAAAAGTGCCTCAAAACTTTCAAGCAGCATCATAATATAATTTTACAGAAATGTTGCACATTTTTTTTCAACAACAACAACAACAACAAAAACTACTAGAAACTATAAACCAACGGCTTGGATTAGCTAAAAATCTCATACACCTTAAAATGGTATTAGCATTAGTGTTGTAACAAACATTTTTCTTCTCCACACAAAGTTGCACAAATGTTGTGTGGGTGTTTGTCTTGGTTGATTAGTGATCTTGTTTTTTGTACCACTCCATACGAAAGCCTCTGGTGATATGGCAGGAAGTCAGAAAAAGAAAGTCCTTTTTTTTGTGGAACAGGGCATCGTTAATTGCTGTTATGAGTTCTGTCTCCACAAGCATCTATCACAACAGACCCTAGGCCTGCCCCCCGAAGGGTCTTACCACAGCCATTAGATAGCTTACACTTTCCTGGTGTGGTTATAATTACCCTGCATTCTCTTGGTCTTCCAATACTCATAACCTCTTATCTGATGTAACCTAAACCCCAGTCAACTTTAACCCATGAGGGCCGCCCCCTCAAGACTAACAAAAGGCAATTGTGAAAGGCCCAACAGTGGCAGCGGCCAATTGTCCTGCCTCTTTGTCCCGACAGACCCTGGATCAGCTAAATGCTGAAACTGATCCAAGATCAGTCTAGGCGTGTCCGGGGGATCTTCAGAAGGGGAAACCCCAAATAATACAGTGAGAATGTGGAGTTAGAGTTTAAAAAAAGAATGAAAAACTAATCATACATCATCCTTTTCCACTAATAATTTATATAATAATTATTAACATATTTACACATTGAATACATCAGATTAATTTAGAATCAACAAAGGAAATACTGTATAATAAAATAATTATTACTATTATTTGATTATGCATAAGAATTATTATTATCGTTATTATTATGTGTTTATTTATAAATAATAATTATATTATATGTAACAATGGTTTATTCTTTGTAATTTTTATCTATAAATGATTAAATACATTTTTTTTTAAGTATTTGCATAATGGCATTTAAAAAAAAAATATTTTTATTAGATTATTCTTATAAATATGCATGTCAGCATGTGCAGCAGTGAAAGAGACATTCAAGTATGGGGTGGAATCAACCCCATGACTTTGGGCTGTTAGTTATGCTTTACCTATTAGGAATATGCAATGCATGAACATTTCTCTTTTCCCATTTCCTTCTCCTTTACCTTAAAGGGGTCATATGATGCGATTTCAATTTTTCCTTTCTCTTTCACACGCTTGAGGAATTCGGCCAATCACAATGCACTGGATAGCTGGCCAATCAGAGCACACCTCGCTTTTTCAGACCGATGAGCTTTGTAAAAATCGATGCGTTTCAGAAAGGCGGGGCATAGAGGAGAAACAATAATGTACAGTATGTGGAAAATAATGTGTTTTTTGAACCTTAAACCGCATAAACACATTTCATTACACCAAATACACAAAATAATGTTATTTTTAGCAGCATCATATGACCCCTTTAATACTTTTATTCCTTTCCACTTTCTCTAACCACACGGAGTAAAAGTTTATGTAAAGTTTAGCTGGAGTCTGTAATTGTGCATGCTTGGTGGGGAGCATTCCCACATGGTTAGCTAAAGACTGGCGCAGGGCTGCAAAGCATTCATCTGTGGACCGGCTCCCCCGGCCTGACAGCTCAAAGGAACCGACTGTGCCACCACAATGGCCTGATTGGTCCTCTTTGGAAGGAGCAAAGGAAGGGGGGCTTCCCTCCTCTGCAACTCACATCATTTGCTAGGCAGGTGGACAACAAAGTCCTCTGATTCTATTGTTGCTGCCTGGACCGTGAGAGGGAGAGAGAGAAAAAGAAAGAGAAAGACAGAGAGATGTTCGTGTGCTTCAACTGAATGAACCTGGTCGTCATGGAATAATTTGTTAATTAAAAAGGAGAAAGGGGCAAAAAGGCACCTGCTGTTCAGCGTGAGAGAGAGGACAGAGGGACACGGAGAATGAGAGTGCACAATCGTTTTGGTATTGTTGGTTTGTCATACTTTTTCATGGATGCCAGAGTGATGAAATGAACAAGAATGAAGGAAGCATGAAGAACAGAGGGAGGGAAGTGAAGAAGCAAGGACAAATAGAGGAAAAAAGGAGGGCAAGATTGTCAGGCAAATTGTTTCCACTCACGTTTTCAATAATTTGAGAAGTGTTCAGATTCTATTGTTGCTGCCTGGACCGTGAGAGGGAGAGAGAGAAAAAGAAAGAGAAAGACAGAGAGATGTTCGTGTGCTTCAACTGAATGAACCTGGTCGTCATGGAATAATTTGTTAATTAAAAAGGAGAAAGGGGCAAAAAGGCACCTGCTGTTCAGCGTGAGAGAGAGGACAGAGGGACACGGAGAATGAGAGTGCACAATCGTTTTGGTATTGTTGGTTTGTCATACTTTTTCATGGATGCCAGAGTGATGAAATGAACAAGAATGAAGGAAGCATGAAGAACAGAGGGAGGGAAGTGAAGAAGCAAGGACAAATAGAGGAAAAAAGGAGGGAAAACTTTGGAAGATTGTCAGGCAAATTGTTTCCACTCACGTTTTCAATAATTTGAGAAGTGTTCAGTGTAAACCGTGTTGGGGAAGCCTCTTTGAAACTTGTGAAACTTGAGGCTACTAATAATTAAAATTTTATAAGTACATTGAAATAAATAATTTTATATATCACTATAAAACGATGTAAAATGTCACACAGGTTCAGGGGCTAGTTAAATTATAGCTTGTATATAGTATAATTGCAGTTGATTTTCCTCAAGAAGAACTGTCATTTCTTTAGTTAAAACCAGCGGAACGGATCTACATTGGAAACTGGATCTTGCACCTTGGCACCTTGCATGGTTTAACTTTCTGAACGAAATATTTTTTAATTTGTTTGTTTTTGCTGATTCACTGTAGCTTAAAGTTTTTTTAATACCAAAAATTAATTCAGGTGTATTTTGAGATTGTGATAAGCCTTTATACCTCCGGAAAAAAAGATGGGCCTATCAAATGGATGAAAAGAGAGCCCGAGCGAACAGAAAGAGAGAGGCAGAGGTGACATCCCTCTTTTAAGCAGCCATTTAAATGATTAGCAGCAAATAGAAGCGAATGCCATCTGACAGAAATAAAGTTCCTGTTAGCAGCATGGCCGGAAAGTAATTTACAGATAGTCTGTCCTGGCCCATCTTTGTGGCGTGCAGATAAGGGTTAATTTCAGCAGGCGGATAGCAGCCACTCGCCCTATTCTGCGACACCTGTGATAACAGCTTGTGGAGCCTAATTGAAAATGGGGCCTCAAAATGGATTTTCTCCTTTCCTCTTCCTGTCTCTCTCCCTCTCTGAGCTGTTTATTCTGACGTTCTTTTCATTTTTTTGTCCTGTCTGACCTGTCCCCCCGCCCCCTTTTTTTTTTCTCCGTTTGGTACAGGGCTGTTACACTAACGGGGAATTATTGAAAGGATGTGTGGATATGTGTGTGTGTATGGGGGTAATTCCGGTATTCCCAAGTGGAAGGGTTTGGTAAATGTGCTATGGGATAATTTCTCACACCGGTGACAGTTTGGTGACAGCCATATGATCCGTCTTATTAATGAAATCATTGATCACT